GTTCTAAAAGAAAGGACCGTTGTTGGTTTTGAGAAACGATAATGAGAACATTGAAACTAAATAAACTATGGGGGAAATGTGAGTCAAAGTAGCCATTACGCAGTGAATTCAATTCAACCCCATACAATACATTTATACCAAAATGGCAATGCGTTTGGCATAATCCGACTGGACCTTTTTCTATTGTGCATAACGTGAATAACAGGATAGGGGATAAACCGCATTGTCAAAATGCATACTGTAAAACAGTCAGCTTATGATCCCGCTATTACAACGAAAGATTGTATGTGGGTGACTAGATTATTCCCTAGTTTAACGATTCGGGGAAAGGAGACTGAAAAAGTACAAAATTTAGTGACAGAACAGACGATTAGCTGAGTAAGGGATGGACGAGTAAAAGTTACAGGAAGAACTGCTGAGGCAAAAACCGAAGAACAAAATCCAAAATAGTAACGGCAGGGAAAGAGATGGGGAAACGGATGCCTGATGATAAGCTGGTGACTCCATATAGGAGTTGAGGGAAGGACCGTTGATCAGGCGGATGGATTGCCGTTGAATTCGATCAAGAAGGGATGACCCCGCTCCGTCAAGATCGTGAATTTTCATGGTTCGAGAGGTGTCACCAGCGAGACCTGGCTTTTCGTTTGAGAATGCAATGCTAGGCTTTGCACAATTAATTGCAGACTGCATGGCGGTCGGAGAATCCTCACGAGTTCATTCGTCATTCGACTGGAATAGATTCATCCCATGAATCCAAGCACACCTGATCAGATTTCCTTTATGGTCATGAAATCGGATAGTGGAACTCAATAGCCGAATACAAAGTAGCTGGCTCTGCATGCCGAATGCCAATCCATCGCGGTTTTAGGCCTTGTTTACCCTCAGCCTTTTACACAGCTTAGTGTGATGAAGAGGAGACGCGGTCGACCACATAGTCACGCGGACTTGATGGTCAGTAATAAAAACCGGCAAACCAAGCCCCGGGGCTTGGAGTGGTGAACCACATAAGGTCCCGTTAGGTTATGCGTGGTATTGAACCGGATGACAGCTAATCTGTCTACTTTTTCGGA